TGAAATGGCACCTGAACATCTGGTTTCGCAAATTATTTTAGCAAAGCTTTTTGAAATTGTGGACAGAATTGTGAATCGCAAACTCCCCACTGCTCCCCCCACTCCTGTCAGCAGTGCAGTTTAACCACAAGAGAGGACTGTGTGTGTGGACTCTCCTCCCCCTCTCTCCTTGCAACAGCAATGGGCCAATCAACAGTTCGGAGGAGAAAACCACACTCCAGAGTGTGACAGGAGAGTGATGTGCCAGGAGTGTGACAGGAGAGTGATGTGACAAGAGTGTGACAGGAGAGTGATGTGACAGGAGAGTGATGTGACAGGAGTGTGACAGGAGAGTGATGTGACAAGAGTGTGACAGGAGAGTGATGTGACAAGAGTGTGACAGGATTATGTCTCCACCTAAGAGAGAAAGAACATTGGAGCCCAAAGCTATGGGAGGGACAGCCAGAGGGTAAAGAGCATGACTTGAGTACTGAGAGATAAAGCTACCTACCAGAGTCATCATATGCAACCCAAAATAAGCGGATACTGCTGCTGTGTTACACTGGGTCTGCTGAGAGGGCCTTGTGTCCTCTACTTGTTACCACTGTTAGTGACTGAGCCATTAGGAACTACCTTACAGTTACTCCAAATTTCTAATACTGCCTGCAGGTCGTATTGACTGCCTTAACATGCACCAATGGGCCCCAACATTTAGCTGAAGAGTCAGGACTAAAGACTGCCCCTAAACAGTTGCAGCCCAAAGGCCTTTTTATGTTAAAGAGCTACCTCTTAAGAGATACTGCATCCCAGCCAACCCCTTAGAGTGTACTCTAACCTAATTTAGTATTATCTTCATTTATACTGCAATTAACATTTACTAATATTGTTTATTGCTGATTTACTAACTTCTGGTTCTAGTCAGGGGTATAAAATCAGAATTTTTGCCAATTTAACAAAGGTTTTCCTCTGTCTAGCAGACTGTGTTATAATCTATCAGCTCTGTGCTCATTTATGTTCAATTTGCCATTTATTCTAACCCGTATCAATAGATTAAGAGTATTTACCACTGAACGGGCGTGTGTCTATTTACTGGTAGTAATCTACAGCCGGGTTAAAGGTATTTTACACTTGTGCTTTTATCTACGCTTGCAGTGATTTTTTAGTCAATTAAGTTTGTCAGAGGGGTTGAGATTGTTCTTGTAGTCACAGCACAGAACAGACAACCCAAAGTTATCAAGCGGCTCCTTCGGGGAGAGGCGCTACTACACTATTTTTAAAAATATTGTAATATAAAACATTTTGCACATTAACCTCTTCAGATCTTTTGATGTGTCTAGAAGTTTTGAGAGGTCATTCAAGCTCATGGCAGCCATGAACCTGTTTCTTTTTTGAGCAACAAACACCTGGTTTTTATTATAAGTGATAACCCACTGCCTCCCCCATCCCCAACTTTATGGTTCCCAGGCTCTCTCGTTCTTAACGGGACCATACATAACATTGTAAGGATGGAAAGCAGAAGGAGCTCAGGTAATATTTATTGCCTAATCTCTTCTGTGCACTGTGAGCCCAGAAGAGCTCAACTCTGCGCATTTCCAGGTTCAGAGTTGTCAAAAACCTGGCTGAAAAGCTGAGTGCAATGTTCAAAGGGGGTCAAGCTTGGTGTGTGCTTCAAAAGCTGAAGCAGAGGAGACAATAGGGGTCTAATAGACCCTTGATGTTTCCATAAAGAGTACCTAACCTCCCCAATCCTAACACATAGGGGACTTGTTAGCACCCTTGTGATGGCAATTAAAGTATTAGTTCACCTTTCGTAAAATGTTACATCCACATTCAAGGTGCAACATATTATGAACAGATTAGCCCCCACATTCCCCCAATCCCATTTTTGATATTTTCCCCTCCCCCCCCCCCCCCCCCATTTTTGATATTTCCCCCCCTCCCCCCCTCCCCCCCCCCCCCCCCCCCCCCCGCTAGCTGTCACAATTTTAAAAAAAAGTATTCTGTGAATGAGAATACTACAAGTCCCAGCAGCCTTTGCGGCTCTCAGCTTGTAGTTCTCACAGAACTACCACGGCGCTGTGGAGTGCCATGGTAGTTCATTGAGTCTTCCTGTCAGAATGTATCTGCTTGCCCGCATGAGCACACAGATATACTGACAGGTCTGCAGGAGACCTTCATGGCACCAGCAATCTGCTGATAGCTGATGCAATGCTCTAAAGGCTCCAGATACAAAAAATAATAAATGCACATTTTTTTTTACCTGCAAAAAAATGTGCATTTATTATTTTTTGTTAAAAAGTGAACTTATCCTTTAAGTGCAAATTTTTTATTTTTTTTAAAAAATTGTAAATAACAAAAGAACATAAAATCACAAACATTGCCCAGCACACACATACCAACACAAACGTATGCATAGAAGGCAGGCAGGTATGTAATAGATTGTGACGCTTGTGCCACATGTGTTTATATATATTGCCGAGAATGCCAGAGTGAGAGTAATAATCCTAGGACCTTCATTTAAGATTAATTCTAGGGATCTCAAAACTTTCTAAAAAAAGCGATAGTTTACTATCCTTCTTTAGAGGGGAGCAGCTTGTGACCACTAGAAGTAAAAGTGCCTGGCATCAGTGGGAGTAAACAATGTTCCATCATTGGTTTCAATGGGATTAATGCCCCCCCCCCAAGCCTCCCCGCATGGTTACTGAGCTTTCCTGCTCTTACCAGGAGCCTGGGGCCACAATTGCCGACTTCAGGATGGAGAGCAGAGAAAGACCAAGGCGCATCCATGCCTCAATCTCCCCTATACTGAAAGAAACCAGAAGACACAATGATTTTGTCACTTTTGGTTTCAGATCCGCCATTTGATCCGCCAAAATGATACTTCTGTATTCTCTTAAAAGGGTGTTACTTAGGAGGTGGGTACGGGGTGGAACCAAGGGACAATACTCAGAGGGGGGTAGAGGGTGGAGACAAGGAGTGATTCATAAAGGGTAGTTCCCTCACCTATTCTCTGAGAAAAGAAGCCCGACCCCAATCAGTAATTCTGTATGGCTTCCCTTTCTACTTACCTTAGCCACAAAATCCCCCCAATCAGATACAGTTGCAAGAAAAAGTATGTGAACCCCTTGGGATTACGTGGAGTTTTTGCATGAATTGGGCATAAAATGTGCTCTGAACGTCATCTAAGTCACAACAATAGAAGAACACAGTCTGCTGAACATAATGCTACACAAACAATAGATGTTGCCATGGTTTAATTGCACATAACATGTAAACATTCACAGTGCAGGGAGGAAAAAGTATGTGAACCTTTGGACCTAATAACTGGTTGACCCTCCTTTGGAAGCAATAACCTCAACCAAACGTTTCCTGTAGTTGCAGATCAGACCTGCACAACGATCTGGAGTAATTTTGGACCACTCCTCTTCACAAAACTGTTTCAGTGTAGCAATATTCTTGGCATGTCTGGTGTGAATCGCTCTCTTAAGGTCATGGCACAGCATTTCAATCGGGTTGAAGCCAGGACTCTGACTGGGCCACTCCAGAAGGCGTATTCTGTGCTATTGCAGCCATTGTTTTGTTGAATTACATGTATGCTTTGGTCATTGTCCTGTTGCATCACCCATCCTCTGCGGAGCTTCAGTTGGCGGACAGATGGTCGTACACGTTTTCCTGCAAAATGTCTTGACAAACTCTGGAATTTATTTTCCCATCAATGACAACAATCCGTCCAGGCCCTGAGGCAGCAAAGCAGCCCCAAACCATGATGCTCCCTCCGCCATGTTTTACAGTGGGGATGAGGTTTTGATGTTGGTGTGCTGTGTCTTTTTTTCTCCACACATAGTGTTGTGTGTTCTTCCCAAACAACTCAATATTGGTTTCATCTGTCCACAGTATATTTTGCCAGTAGTGCTGTGGAACATCCATATGCTCTTTTTGCAAACTTCAAACGTGCTGCAATATTCTTTTTGGACAGCAATGGCTTCCTCTGTGGTGTCCTCCCATGTACTCCATTCTTGTTTAATGTTTTCCTTATTGTAGATGTGTCAACAAAAATGTTAGCATGTGCCAGAGATTTCTGTAGGTCTTTAGCTGACACTCTGGATTCTTCTTTACCTCATGCAGCATTCTGCGCTGTGCTCTTGCAGTCATTTTTACAGGACGACCACGCCTAGGGAGAGTAGCAACAGTGCTAAACTTTCTCCATTTGTAGACAGTCTGTCTTACCATGGACACATGAACATCAAGGCTTTTGGAGATACTTTTGTAACCCTTTCCAGCTTCATGCAAGTCAACAATTCTTGATCGTTAGGTCTTCTGAGAGCTCTTTTCTGCGAGGCATGGTTCACATCACACAGTGCTTCTTGAAACCAGTAAACCCAAAACAGGTGTGTGTTTTTTAAGGGCAGGACAGCTGTCAGCAACACACCCAATATCATCACACTAATTGGAGTCAAGGTTGGCTCACTCCTGGCTCCAATTAGCTCTGGGAGAAGTCATTAAGCTAGGGCTTCACATACTTTTTTCCTCCCTGCACTGTGAATGTTTACATGTTATGTGCAATTAAACCATGGCAAAATCTAATGTTTGTGTAGTATTATGTTCAGCAGACTGTGTTCTATTGTTGTGACTTAGATGACGTTCAGAGCACATTTTATGCCCAATTCATGCAAAACTCCACGTATTCCCAAGGGGTTCACATACTTTTTCTTGCAACTGTACATATATATTACATAAATATATTCATTGTTTCAATAGCATGTGCCATCCCTAGCACCAGACCTTCCAAATGAACCCTCTGTTTAACCGTCTCCCCGCCCGCTATATAGTAAAATGATGGATGCAAGGCGGTTCTCTCGTTCTGGGAGGATGTCATATGACATCCTCCCATTCTAACCGCGCATGCTCGGCTCCCGGAGCGCGCAGCGTGGCGATCGGCGGTGCGCTGTGTCCCTCGGACACAGCTGATCACCGATCCACGGAAAGAGCCGAAGATGTCGGCTCGGTCATGTGATCAGCTGTGTCCAATCACAGCTGATCACAAATAAACAGGGAAATGCCTGTTATCGGCATTTTCTCTCCTCACGAGCTGTCACGCTGACAGCTCGTGAGGAGAGGAGAGCCGGTAATCGGCATTCCTCGGAGGGGACATCTACACTGATCATCAGGGCACTGATGATCAGTGTGCCCTGATGATCTGTGTAGCCCCAGCAGTGCCACCTGTCAGTGTCCCCCCCATCAGTGCTCATCCATGACATGACACATCAATGCCACATATCAGTGCCCATCTGAGCTGCCTTTCAGTGTAACCCATCAGTGCCAGTCAGTGCCACCTATCAGTGCTGCCAATCAGTGCCACCTATCAGTGCCAGTCAGTGCCGCCTATCAGTGTCTGAGTGCTGCCTATCAGTGTGCATCAGTGCCTGTCAGTGCCACCTAATAGTGCCAGTCAGTGCCGCCTATCAGTGCCAGTCAGTGCCACCTACCAGTAACGCCTATCAGTGCCATATATGAGTGCTGCCTTTCAGTGGCCATCAGTGATGCTTGTCAATGCCCATCAGTGCCATCTACCAGTGCCTCCTCATCAGTGCCCATCAGTGCCACCTATCAGTGTCCATCAGTGCAGCCTCATTAGCGCACATCAGTGATCATGTATTTACAAAATTTTATAACAAAAACTAAGAAAAAACTTTTTTTTTTCAAAATTTTCAGTGGTTTTTGGTTTGTTTAAAAAAAATTTAAAAAACCAGAGGTGATTAAATACCACCAAAATAAAGCTCTATCTGTCACAAAAAATGATAAAAATTTCATATGGGTACAGTGTTGCATGACCGCGCAATTGTCACTCAAAGTGCAACAGCACTGAAAGCTGGAAAATTGGCCTGGGCAGGAAGGGGGTATAAGTGCCCTGTAGGCTAGTGGTTAAGGTACATATGTAGAAAATCAGTGTGTATAACAAGCTTTTACAAGCTATTTGCAAACATTGTGTACATTTTTACATTTCAAGTAGTGCTAAAGGCTGCTAGCAGATTATTTAAAGTGACAATAAACATGCATATTAAAGCATAATTTCACCTTTTGAAAAAAATAAATACATAAATGCACATTTTTTTGCAGGTAAAAAAATATGTGTTTATTATTTTTTTTCTAAAGAGCCTGCAGAGCATTGTCTCAGGCTCCTGCAGATTCTCTGCATGGCTGTCTGCCCATACCTCCTGTGGGCAGGCAGTTACCTGGGAGCAGGAAGCTCAATGGACTATGAGAGTACTCACCAGTGCCCTTGCAGGTCACTGAGAACTACAAGCCATCAGCTGCAAAGGCTGATGGTACTTGTCATTCATTCACAGGAAACTGTAAATGAATGACGCAGTCATGTAGCTGGAGATCCACACGACCAAATCATTTTCAGATTGTGACAGCGGGCACGGGGAGAAAATCCCACTGTCACAGGGAGGGGGATATTTGGGAGAGGCTGCTCCCTAAACAATTAGAGGAAAAAGTAACATGTTCCAAAAGATGAACATAAGCTTTAAAATATGAGCTTTGTTGTTATATATATCCCTGAGGGCAGTATAATTAACCACTTGCCCTCCTGAGGATTTACCCCCCTTCGTGACCAGACCATTTTTTGCATTACGGCACTGTGTTACTTTAACTGACAATTGCGCTGTCATGCAATGCTGCACCCAAATGAAATTGACGTCCTTTTTTCTCATGAATTGAGCTTTCTTTCTGTGGTATTTGATTCGCCTGTGCATCTTTTATTTTTTGCGCTATAACCAAAAAAAGACCGACAATTTTGAGAAAATAAACAATATTTTGGACTTTTTGCTATTAAACATGTCCAGTAAAAAAAATAAATAAAAAATAAAATTTTGTCATAAATTTAGGCCAAAATGTATTCTGCTATATGTCTTTGCTAAAAAAAAAAAAAAAATCCCAATACGTGTAAATTAATCGGTTTACGTGAAAGTTATAGCGTTTTTAAATGGCAGTATAGATAATGGGATTTTTTTTTTCTACTAAAAATGGTGGCGATAAGTGACTTTTAGTGGACATTCTGACACTGGGGGGGGGGACTAAATTGGTGCCAATGACACCCCAATAACACCAATACAGTGATCAGTGATAAAAAAGCACTGACACTACTAATGACACTGGGCAGGAAGGGGTTAATGTGAGGGGCGATCAAAGAGTTAACTGTGTGCTGGGAGTGTTTTTACTAGGGGGCGATGTCTGTGTGTTTCACTGTAAGCACACTGCTTTGGATGGCTGTGCTTACAGTGAATGGCTGGGGAAGATGTTCTTCATTGTAAGCACACTGATCGGGATGGCTGTGCACTGTACAGCCATCCCGAGCAGTGTGCTCAAGCTGACAGGGAGGAAGATTGTAAACAAAACAATTTTCATCCCCTTTGGATGATCCGCTGGTCAAATTCGGTGTGCGTAGGTAGCTTGAGCGGCTTGCGCATGCCCTCTACCTGGAAATGCAGAATGCCATATATATACGTGATCCTGCGCACAGGTGCCGCCCTGTAGCAATATATCTGCTATAGGGCGGTCCTTAAGCGGTTTAAAGCAGCTTTCAAATCTGGTGCTGCATATCCTGAGATATACTCTGCTATCCATAGTTTCCAAGTTGCTTGTGGGCTAGATTCTGTCATATATATATGTACACTGTGCACGTTCCTAGGATGGCCTTTGTTTCCTATGGCAGCTTGCAGTACATGCAAGAGTCTGAGAGTGTGGCCAACATAGTCTGCACTGCACGGTTCTATGCAGGCCAAGTGGTTTATCTGAATCTGTGGTATGTGTCACGTACCTGGTTGGGGAGCCTGACGTGGAAAGGAGGCGTCCTCTTACTACTCCCGCTCGGAGCCCTGATAGTGGGAACAGAGGGCGCAGAGCCAGGAGTGGCACAAGTGCCAGGTAGGTCTGAAGCTGGCGGCAGGTAGGTGAAGACCCGGGAGATCCGGATGCAGCCCCGGTGCGGATGCAGGAACGTAGGTGCAGTAGCAGGCAGGTATGGCGGCATCAGGATGCAGACTGGGACTGGATACAGGAGCGTGGATGCGGCAGCAGGCAGGTATGGCAGTGACCAGGATGCAGGCCAGGTGCAGGACCGTGGGTGCAACAGCAGGTAAGTATGGCGGTGACCAGGATGCAGGCCAGGTGCAGGACCGTGGGTGCAGCAGCAGGTAAGTATGGCAGCAATCAGGATACAAGCCAGGTGCATATACAGGTAAGTAGGTGCAGCAGAGTCAGACAAGTTGGGTCAGAATCAACGAGCAAATCAAGTACAAGGGAGCAGTCAAGCGGATAGTCTGGGATTGCCGGGGTCGGTGCAGGCGGAATTCTTTTTTAGTCAGGGTCAGATCAGATACAGGATCAGGTTATGGAGTGCAGGACATTATAAACCAGAAGGCATTGATTACACTGTACTGCAGGTTTAAATAGCCTGCCTTGCGGTGACGTGTACGCTACTGCGCATGCACGCACTCGCACGCTCCTGCGCATGCGCGCTCGCTCCACCACGGCCCGAGGGGATCCGTCGCACGCCTGCATGGCGGCAGGATCCCAGACAGTATGATTTGCATGTTTGTGTTTGGTTAAGACATCATGGAGGAATGGATGGCATGGGGAACTGTGTTCGTGAACTTCCATGTAAAACATGCACAGCATGTAGTATTGTGTAATGATCACCTTATGTTGAACATTTGTTTCTCTTTATATTTTTTTCCACTAATTGAAAAGGAATCTATAGGTCTGCAATTTACATAGCTGGGCTTCAGATGACTTGTTTTACTGCATTCTCAGTGGAGCAAAATAGTTCTCATGTGTATAAACAAACAGTATACATAGCTTGCAAGGCCTAAAAATTGTGGTTTCATTTTGGCTCATTTATTGATCACAGATTTAAAGCCCAACTCCAGGATATTAGCAGCCTCCCTCCCACCCCCACTAACAAACCACTGGTATGAAAAAATTCCTATCCAAATACCCATTTTACTTATCCGAAGCTACGGTCAGTGATGGCCCTTCTCTCTTCTTCTTGGGCTCCTTCTTCTGAGTGACCACATCTCTGCCTTCATGATGTGCTCACCTCTTATTGGTAGAGGTGATATTTTCAGTAGCCAGATCCTCTTTCCTAGGATACAGAGGCAGGAGAACTCATGCGGGCAGCGAGGGGACCAATGCCCAAGAAGATAATGAGCGGGGAAAAATGTCTGTTCCCTAGGAAAGGCAATAAGCTTCACTCCTTGGAGAAACTGTGACTTTGATCCATTACACTGCAGGATGGCTTAGAAAGCGAGGTCGCTGGAATCAAGACTGGGAAGTAAGGTAGTTGATGCACAATGCATGATTTACATTTCATTGCTGCCTGAAGTCAGGATTTAACGTGGAACTAAACAGCATGCTTTGAATGCCACTGTTTTGGGAAACCATTAAATTGATGGATTTTGTTCTGCTTTAAATATGATTTTGTATTACTGTATAAAGCAATATTTCCCCCTACTGCCAGTGAATACTTTGATCAAACAACATTTAGGCACTTTAAAACATGGAAGTTGGAAATGCACATGGAGATATTCTCACTTCCTACTTTTGTTCTGCATTTGTCAAATTATGTTACAGCTCTTCGCAGATAACACAGAACCTTTCATATCAGGCCATTTTGTTAAAGAAACGTAAAGTGGTTGTAAACCTCAGACATGAAATATGAACAAAGCATATCCCTCTATAGTGTGCAATTGTCTCAATTAAGAGCACTGAGGGGGGTGTTTTACTAAATAAAGTGCAAAATCTGTTGCAGCTGTGCATAGAAACCAATCAGTTTCCAGGTTTTATTACCAAAGCTTAACTGGACAATCTGAAGTTATAGGCTGACTGGTTACTATGCACATCTGCACCAGATTCTGAGTGCTCCAGTTTTTTGGAAGCTCAGATAAGCTTTATACGTTTTGCACTTTGAATGGATTTAGAGATAAGAAGGATGCAGGTAAACTAGTACAACTTACTGTATATTCGAGGATTTGTTTCATCTCTGTGTATCGCCTGGGGCCAGTCACTTCACTGGGTATATGTAAGGATTTACAACCACTTTAAATCATGCATATTTAAGTATATATTCAGAGGAGGTCAAATAACTAACCAGTCTTTTGTCAGCTGTAGGAAACAAAAAATAAGAACATACAACTTCCATATACAGATCTCTTTCTGTCTTGGTTGGATTCAAACCCATACAATTGCCTGAGGCTATAGTGCCATCCAGTGAGCTAATGTGGTTATAAATGCATTCCATGAAGGTAAAACACCTTCTGTGTGCAGCAGCCCCTAATACGTACCTGAGCCCCATCACAATCCAACGATGTGCACAAGAGCCCAGGCTCTC